CTCCCAGTGCTCATGAGATAGTCTGTATTTCTTGGCCAGGTTCTGCAAAAATACAAATAATTACAAGTGCCCTGAAGGATAAGAAACAGGTTTACAAAGTGTGTGGGTAATTTAAAATGCATTTTGCACCACATAATGTACTTATTCCCCAAAAGCATCAAAAGACAGTAAGAAAGATAATTAGTCCTTGCTGTAGTTAGAGGATCATTCTAATAGCTCTGCACACACACATTTTGATTTTCTTTGCTTTATGAAGACAGAGAAGCAGGTGGTACAGATCAGCAAAAGGCTGCAGCATATCATCGCCATGCGGTTATTTTACACTGATGCTGTAAAATGTATGCAGTGCTTTCTAAATACTTTCTGAAAAGGATTACAGTTCCTAGTTTTGAAGCCTGGAATTAGGAACAGGCTAAAAGTAAAAACTTACGTTTACAAAAATGTTCTGAAGTGCAGTAATTAAATACTTCCCTTACCAACATTTCTTTGGGGCTTTTTTCTGTTTCCTACAACTGATGGTTTTGTCAACATCTGTTAAAAGAGAAATGCAGCTAGTTTGCTTTGGTTGGAGAGCAGCTCTGCTTCTAGACAGCTCATGATGAAACCTCCACAGATGTCCGAGTGAGCAGGATCTGGCATGGAGCCAAGTTGGTTAAAATGACATTGAATTCATGTTTTATCTTTTCTAATTTGGGAGGCTGGGAGTCAGTTTGAAGCTTGTGCTTACAAAAGCAAGCACAGTATCAAAAGGCATAGGGATAGATTAATGTTGCCTTACCTTCAAGATTAATACACGCATTTGTGCTTTTTCATTAACGGGCTTTATCAGTAATTGCTGAAATTTTGTGAAACTTATTTTCAAGATCTTTTGGGGATGGAAGTTAGGTTACATTTTAAATCCAGTGTCTGATGTTTGTTGTTCACTATGATTTCATCTTTCTGAACAGAGGTGATTTTTCTTTCTTAATATTGGCATAATCTTTCCCTGTGTCTAAAGTAGCAGTTAAATTTTGAGGAAGTATGTAAGAATACTAAGTAAAGTCTTGCAAAGAAAGTGGAATTTGACACACAAGCCACTATACTCACGCCAATTTGCTGTGTTTCCTGTGTAAGGAAAGTATGGTATAAGTTCTGTGAATTACAGTCATTATTTTGGAGAAGCCGTAATTGAAAGTTGCTGCCAAATTCTGTCGGTTCAGCGACCCAAAACATTCTGAAACGAGGTCAATCTCTGTTTCTGATGGTCAAGAAAATTGCCAAGTTTAAGAAAGCAAAGTCACTTCCCTCGTCTGGTCCCCTACCCTTGCCATATGGTAGCGTTCAAACTGTATCAGCATTCCTAAGCAAGCTCTGTTGAGACAGACTGAATTATTTCTTTGTCCAGGGAACAAGGCACCAACGCAAACTGAAAAATACCGAAAATATCTCTTTGTCGTGGGACTGTGTGTAAAACTTGCATTCATTTTGATGCAGATATCTTGCATGAATTTAGGAGTGCTAGGAATCTGTTGCCTATATGCTGTTTTTCTGTTTCCCATACCTGTGTTAGGCTAATGATGGGTGCAAGAACTGAATTTGTTAATTTCTTTATTCTTTTTTTCCTATGTAGAAGGCAGGCATTGAGGACTTAACCTGTATATTAACCATTCCTGTATCATTCCAATAAAATTGTTTTAGAATGCTTTCTCACACGATTGACTTGTTTGCATGTTTTGTTCACGGCTTGAAGTGGTCCCGTAAGTTGAAAGAAGTGGAGTTTTCGAATGAAAATACTGCTCTGTGAAAGTACAGGATCTGTACAACAAAGTGAACATAACGCATCTGCTGCTGCTGCATGTGAAGTCTGTTGGGTTGGATCTCACCTGTTGCAACTAATGGGTTTTAATTAGTTAGGATACACCTACCCAAAACTGTCTTTGGAGGTTTTGGGGTTTTTAGGAGAGCACTGAATACACTTCCTAATTAACCTGCTTTCCCACTCTTTCCCCAAGGCAGTTAGTTACAAATCGGAAGCGGACAGGGCAGATCAGCTTCACCCCATGCCTGTAGAGCTTGCCAAACAGTCGCAGTTGCTTTTTTTGCAATGTGTAATTAATTAGCTGTGTGCTGCTCACAGCAGGGGAACTATGTTATTTAATATTTGTGTTGCCAGAGGGCGGTGTAGGATAAATTTTTAAACTAAAACTATTCCCTTTTACCTTCTCTATTTGCCTGGTAGACCCAGCAGGTACATTCTTTTAAGCTTTACATGCTGAAGTTTTGCACCACCTAGACGATCTTCTGTAGAGCTACAGAAGATGCATTCTCAGCCCCTAAACTGCAGTAGGATTTGCCCAAATCCCAGACTTCAATTCACATCCTCTGAAGGAAACCAGTAACTTAATTCTTTAAAGAGTGGTTTGCGAGAAGGCTGCTTGCTTGCCATTTATAGGATCAGCTTGTTTTCTGTCTGAACAACTAATGCACAATGGAGAACCATCAGTTACATCAATGTCTTTTAATGGTGTTTATTGCTTGTCTCTCACACTTACTTGCCCTTTTTTAGTGTCTTAAAAAATAGTCCATAATGTAAGATAGGGAAAAGGGCTTTTGATGCTATTTCTAAATTACAGTGAATCTCATTTACTTTCCTGTATATACATTTCACTTGTATCACCCAGAAAAATCTCTGGTTTTCTTGTTTGTTCATAAGAAGTCTTAAAAAACCAAATTGTTATTCATTAATATAAAGCTCAATACAAACAGTTTTCAAAAATGTGTTTAAAAAACCAACTGCATGTGTGCATATAATGTTTACTTAACTTGCTGTTTCAGGTTACAATGGTGTGCACTGTAATAATAAAACTTTTCTACCAGTTAATGTCGGATTTTATTCATTTCTCATTTAAGATTCTTAATCTGCATATCATGGAAAATTCTGTAAAGTCTGATAATATCATTCAGCTCGTGTTGCACATATTTTAAATACCAGAAATGTCTTGCAATAGAAATTTGAGGTGTGCATGGTGGAGATAGGTGCCTGCTAGTCTCTTACTGAAGGGTCTTCATTCAGAGTCAGTTCAGGTTAACTCCACAAAGACAAAGCCCAGAATGGGTTAACCTGAGGTACAGTTGCAGTCAGCAGAAGTAGGTGAGTAAATGAATGGCTCCTGAGCAGCTCCATTACTGGTAAGAGACTGTGTATGTGTGTATATGCATACACTGTATATAAAGATCTGTTCTGCATCTTGGTTGGTTTTTTTTTTTTTTTAACCTGAGAAAAAGGTATTGGCTAGTCCTGTGCCCTTGGGCCCACAACTTGAGAAATGCAAGAAATAAGATTTACCAAGAACAACGTTACTAAGTTTTTGTCTAGATTCAGACTCATCAGTAACCTATGTTAAGAACTTTATCAGACCTTTTCTCTCCTTTATTTTCCCCATTATGGTAAGAGAATTTTAATAGCCAATTTAAAAAGAAACTGAGACAACTCATTACCTGCGAACAAGCCATTAAGCTTTCCTGACTTGGTGTTTTCCTCTTCTGCCAGTCTTGCTTTTTCAGGGTTTTTTGGTGATGTAAATACAAGAGTTGGAAAGTGTGTATGACAGTGCCTAGAGAGAGGCATTCTGTGATCACATTTCCCTATCTCATGCCCAGCCTCTGATTTTGAGCTGATTCAAGGTATAAGGGGAAAATGAAGGCCTTTACTTATTGCTCATTATCCATGTAGCCCATTCCAGATCAGTGAAGCCTATCTGAATAGATCAGGTAGCACTACCTAAACAAAATAATCCCACTCTACAAAAAAATAATTACCACATAGTTATCTTTTAGTGAGTTCCCACACAAGCATTCCGTGATTTGTCCATATTATGTGATTGTGGTAGAATGTTTTAGATTGAAGAGTTCATTATTAATAATTTTGAAATGTTTATTATTAACAATTTTTAACTGTATTGGTAAACTTTTGGAAAAACTTTGGGAAATGCAAAAGGATTCTGAAAGTCAACTTAAGGTGAAGTAGAAATCACCATCTTACTACAGGAGGTGAGCACTGTGGCGCAGTGAGTACTGAGTACTCCAAGTGTTCCAGTATGCAAAATACATATATTTAGTGTGTTGCATTTGTGAAGTATCAAAATTGGTCCTATATACAGTAATTCCTTCTCTCACAGGTTTGCCTGTTGAAGACACCTTCAGGCACTTGGGAGGCTTCTTCATTTTCAGCTGCTTGGAATAACATCTCAAAATCCTTAAAAAAAAAAAAAAAGGAAACAGGCACCATCATTAATACAATCTCAACTGCAATATAGTTCCCATCTGACTTGAATTCCTTTTTGAGCCCTTTCCCAGCACGTAGGGCAAGTTATTTTTCGCTTGTGCAAACAGAACTTGATCGGATACACGGTTCCTAACCGCGAACGCGGCACTAAATCCACGTTAACTCTCGCCCACGGACGGTAAACCACAGCAACGCCACGCACCGCGGCTCCCAGCACGGTTCGGTCCCTCTTCCCTCCGCTGAAGCCCGGTGTAAGGACAAGGCGGGGAGCGGGATGGGGCAGGGTCCGGGCCCCCCGGCTCTGCCCTATCCTCCGCCCTCCCCACCGACTACCGCGGGCCGGCCGCCCGCCTCCTCCGGCCCCGGCTCACCGAGTAACTCCTCCCGCAGCCCGTTAACGGCCTGCCTCTGCCCCGCCTGCCGGCCGAGGGGCCGTCGCCTCACCCCGACCCCCCGCTTACCTGCCCGGGACCTCACGCCGGTGTAACCGACCGTAATGGCGCCCACCTCCCCTCAGCGGCCGCCGCCTCGCGCCGTTGCCGCGGCAACCAACCGCCACACAGCGACCGAGGCGAGCCTGCCCCGCCTTCCCCACTGGGCGTTCCTCTTGTCAGTCAGCGTGAAGGCCCGCCCCCTGCGGGCTGAGGGAACCGCCGGGCGGCCTCACCCTCCATGAGGAGAGTCCGCTGCCCGCCGCACCGGCGAATGGCCCCTCCGCCAGCGAACCGCGGCCCGAGCCCTCCGGGTCTTCTCTCCTTCTCCCCTCAGCGCTGGGGGTTCGTCCCCGGGCGCTTGAGCCTGTTGCAATGGTCCCGCCCGGCAGCTCCGGGCTCGGGGGCCTGCTCCGGGTGTCCGCTCGGGGCTGCGGGGTGAGCTCTCCTCCCATCCGGCCTCAGCCGTTGCCTTTGCTCCCCTGTGAGCTCCCCGTGCCTCCTGTCCGCCGCTTCTTTAGGTTTAAAAAGTATTTCGGCCTACCCAGATAACGTGAGTGCCTGCCCGCCGCAGAGAGACCCGTGTGGGCCTGTGCCCCCCCCCGGTCAGTGTGGGCCATGGTCGGGAGGCGGGCGCTGTCGGGGGCGGGTTTGGGGTTTGTATTTTGTTAAATCGGTCAGAAGAGGCGTCACCGAAGAGCTGGAGCGTCCGTTCGGGTGAAGGAGGAGCTGTTGTGCGAGAAGGTATTTGAAAACTCAGGGAAGTTGGGGTTGTTGAAATGAGGTACTGCTGGTTTAAATGGAAGACAGGAGACTTGCAACAGCTGTGCTTGGAAAAAAAAAAAAACCCACCCAAACGGTCAGTGTAGTCAGTTTCTATAGCACGTTTACATGCACATAAAATACATAGTCTGGGCTGAAATAAGGGACTTGGTTTATATGCTGCTGTAGTTCACATGACATGATAATTGTGTATGGTAACACACAATGCTGTCTTATTTATTTTTTCCGTGTAGGAATGGTACAGTCAAATTTATTTTTCTTTGTTTATACATTTTGCTTTAAGTTTAGCCTCGGGATTCAGACAAGTATGCTTGTCTTGCTGACTGTTTCTTCTAACTGCGGTCTGTTTTCAGCTTCTGAAATAGCTTTGATTCTATCTTGTTCTGATTTTATTTTTGTAAGTATAAGGGTTTTTTTGTAAGATCTTATCAATATAAATATATAAATTTCTTTGGATATTGCTGCATTTGACACCTGAGTACAACTGAAATGAAAGGTGACTTGTTTTTAATCACTCAAGACTAAAGACCTAATTTGATTTCTTCCTTTCTCTCTGTTACTTTTGTGTTTTGTTGAAACTGTCGCACAAAAAATACAGCTGCAGCTGGCACTAATTACAAGCTCCGTGAAGGAGGCAAGGTTTAAAACTACATGGAATTTGAACCACCCTGTTTCCTGCCCTCCAAGACTGGGGGCACGAGTACTCTGTTGAAGTCACAACCACATCTACCATGCAGAAATTAGTCATGTAAGATGATTAAAATAAAGTAATTTTAAACAGCATTTAAATATCAAATGACTTTTATGTAAATTCACTGGGAATAAAAATGGCTTTCATTCTTCCTCCATAAAAACTGAAGTCTTTTGTGAAATACACGTGATAAGGAGGGAACAGGAATAATTTTAAAGGGAATCCACTGGACCTTTATGGTCATAGTTACTTCAAACCTTACATTAATTGATTTTTAAGGCACATCATTATTTTACTGCCCAAACATGTTGTATGATGGGTTGCAATCAATATGTTGCTGTAATGTTATCTTTACACTCTAGTTTTATTTTACATTTGTGTCTCGCTCCTATCATTACACTAAACAGTGTCTTTTTAAGATCTTTTGTCCAGTACTTTGAGATTCAACTTCTGGGGTTTGGGTTTTGTTTTTTTTATCTTATGAGAAAAAGGAAATTTAGAAAAGGCATCAACAGAAAACTCTTGAAATTGTCCATGGACTGGATCTAGTGCTGGGGGAAGTGCTGTGGCTCAGTGCATGAGCTCGGTTTCAGCTGGAGCGAGAAGGACATGCTAAAAACGCCATGGGGGCACCTCTGATGTGCCATTGAGACAGAGGTAATTTTTGAGCCCAGAGAAAGTGGCTTTGGTCAGTGAGTGACATGATTGCCCACAGCTGTCTGATGGCTACTGCTTTCAGAGAGGCAGATTCTCATATTTGTGTTTTATAGACAAATGACGTTTCATCAAAATCTTGATGAAATGGAGTTGTCAACTACTTCCCCATCAGAAGAAGGTCACGAGACTACAGATTTAGCTGTTTGTTTCAAAAGGGGAAATGCTGTAAATAACATCGCCTCTGTAAGTCCGGTGGATGATAGAACAAAACTGAACTTCTGTAGATGGAAGTGTTCGGTGGAATTCAGTTTCAAGTTTGAACAGCCTGGTGAGGTACAGGCACTCTGATCCTTTAGTAGCCTTCGTTGTTTTTAAATGATGTGTTGTGGCAGTTAGCAACTCATCAGTATTGCACCACAGTCAGAAACATCTCGATTCATTTTTTTTTTTTAACATCCTCTTTTAGAGCTACTGTCACTTTGTATTAAAAAACTGCGCACTTTTCCAGTGGGATCACTTCTGTTTTAGGAGGAGAAAATGGGGAACTAACTCATATGTTTGTCATTTTTTTTCCACACAGACAGTAGTGAAGAAAGAGTATGTAAGAATCTATTCTCTTATAGCAGCTGTAGTAGGAGAGTTCTGGGCTATGTGATTATCTGCCTCTTACCCGACTAGGATCGGTAAGTCTGGGCTTTTTGTACTTTTTTTTTTTTCCTTATGCTTTGTTCCAGAATGCAGGCACCATTTACTTTATTTGAAAGAGAGCAATTTTGCTAAGATTACCGTATTTTAGCTCTACATTAGCACTATGAGCATTTTCAAAGCAATACAGCAACATTTTTTAGCACATAAGGATCTGGGTACCTGTGTCCTGTTTTTCAGAAGCAAATGAGGCATGCAGCATTCTAAATTCCATTGACATTCAGCAAGATTTAGACTGTCAAGTACTCTTGCCTCTTTTGAAAATGGCACTTGGTTTCCCAAGTCCCTTAAATGCTTAAGAAAATGTTGTCCTGCTTTTTGCATATGTAAACGATTCTGTAGATAAAGTAAACAGTTATGCTAATGTAACCAGGAGAAGGCATGGTGTACTGCCTTTATTGTCTGCTTTGGTCTCACTTGCAGGCATAAGGCAATTACAGTGTTACCTTCAGCTTCAGGGGGGGAACAGTGCCATTCAAGCTAAAAGAAAAACCCCGAAAAAATAAAAAGCAAATGGTTATACTGTAGCAGTGTGTATATTTAGGAGGGAAGTCAAAAATTTCCATCTCTCAAGTAATTGGAGTTTTAGAATAGCTTTCTGGAAGAGTACTGGGATTAAAAAAAGTGACCCAGTGTATCAAGTTTCATTTTAGAACAAGTAAGTGAGAGTATATGGTTTGGCTGCTGATAGTTAGAAGCAAATTAGTAGAGTGAGGAGGATCTTTCTGGTTATATATCAAATATCGTATTAAATTTGCAGCGATTTCATTGGTGTGGATAGCTATCTAGTGACTTGCACGGCTTTACTACTGATGTAAATTGCCAGCACTGTGAAAAGTATTGAGCCTTAATTGTCCATGATATAAGTAGAATTTTTGGTGTATTTCAAACAGCATGACAGTATGTCGTGTTCTTTGGGAGACTTGCTATGTGCTCTTCAGTAAAATGGCCTCATCCCTTGCCTCTCCCCCCTATTTCAAACCATGAGCACAGTAGAGGTGTGTAAAGGTAGTTGAATTATGCAGAGATTAAAAAGACATTTGAAGAACAGAGGGGTTTTCTTGTGTTCATCTTTCCCGGTCCTCCATAAGAGGAGTGGTGATGATCTTTTCCTTAGTGAGTTTAGGTCACACTCGGCTCTAAATGGAAAGCTTCCCATTGATTTTAACAGTAGGTGAATTGAAAAGGAATGATAAGGCATCATTAAATGTTGTAGATTATTTTGAGACACATTGGCTAGCTTTTAATTTTTCATGTGTATTTAAGTAAAACTGTGGAGCTTATAGATACAGAAACGTACCACTCATCACTTCACTATTGGGGAAGACATTAACTACTTGTATCTTTTAAAATCATTAAGAGGGACTCTAAAAATATTTTTAATTTGTGAACTGCATTTTGGGATGCAGTTTTATTATACTTGAAGAACTACCAGCATCTTTTGAAGCATCTTGGTACCTCATAGGATGGCTCAGGCCAGTTCAGAATCAACCTCTAAGTCTGAATTTCATCTTGATTTCCTTCTTATGTCACCTTTTTAGCTCTTAGAAATTGTTGTCTTTCAGTGGAAAATGTTGATTTGCAACTGATGGTAGTGATATAGACAAGTAAATAATTTTGCTGATTTTTACGGCTCGTAAGTATGATCTATCTCAACTAGCCACAATGCAGAAGAGATACCTAGGAACAGAAGTGATATCACAGATAAGAACCTGGTTAATGCCCTTCCTGTATCTTCAGAGTGGGTTTTGTTGACATGTAGAGGTTAAAATTGTAGAAAAGCATGCAGTTTACTGTTTACTAAAAATAAATATTCTAAAGAAAAATCGCAGTCTTTATAAAAAGTGCATTGTTCACTTATTATTATTGTTCCTCTTTGTCCAAATAAGTTTGAGGTACTCTGCCTGTCTTTCTTTTACTCACAGGACTACATGGAACTCTGGTGATTAGACTGTTACTCGCACTTGTCATCATGTTGGCAGAAGGCATCTTAACTAGACTCATATATAAAGAAAGCTGTCATCAAGATAAGCCTCGCAAATCTCCTGCATCCAAAAAGGATAAAGAGGGAATCTGGAGACAGAAACTTGTAGACAACCCAAAAATCAAAGGCTTTGCTGATGGATACGAGAAGCAGGATGAGATCTCTGCTAGAAGTAGCAAAATGGAACATGGTAGCAGTCCTCAGTGGAGATCCATAAAAGAGGTACCTGCAAAGGATCAGAAAACACTTGTTAAAGGAACTGTATCACCAGCTTTACGTATCCCCAAAAGAGAACAAAATACTGAACAGATGGATTTGTATAGATCCTGGTCATGCAACAGCATTTATCAAAACTACCCTGACTTGCATATCGGGGGAGACCATGTGGGGGACCATATGTGTGATTCAGGTTGTGTTTTGGACCATGTGTGTGATGAACTTCCCAATGGCCCTGTTTTACTGTCCATAGATATTCCTCTAGGTCAGTTCCCTCTATGTGAGCATCCTGAAAAGCCAAGTGTAAAGTCCCTGTCTGGAGATGAAGCTGGAGAAAGGAGTAGTATCATGCTCTGTGCAGAGCCACTTTCAAACTCTGTGCTCAACAAGTACATGGAAACAAAAGTGGCAGAGTTTTATAAACAGTTTTTTGAAGAAAATTTGACCAGGTGTGGTTCTGTAACAAACCTCCTCACTTGCAGTTTGATAAGGAATAACCTGAATCAGATAAGCTTTCAGGTATCACAGGAGCAGAATGTAGAAACATCAAAAGCCAGAGAAGTGCTCTTGCACTCTTTAGCTTTGTTTAGTTTGCACAACACTACCAATGGAAATAGCTCTGAATTTAGTACTCCAAACTTACAGATCTCAAACCCAGCATGCATGAAAAAGAGCTGCAGGATGCAGTTTACATCATGACTGATCTGTGTAGCTGAAGAGATGAATATGATTCGGATACAAATATTTCACTCTAAGGATTAGGTAGGGAAATGAAAACATTTACACACTACAGACTTTTTCAGATAAATATTTTAAAGCTTAAACCATACTTTGTCTTTGTTAGTGGAGGAAGTAAAGGTTATTGTTTTCTTTTTTTCTAATACAGAATTTGAAATCAATTTCTCTGTGAAATACTAGTCAACCATATTTTTGCAATGTATATGTCCTTCTAAGACTCTGGCTGTATGAGTAATTGTAGTCATGTACCATTGGATTTACTCCTGCAAGAAAAATCAGTCAGGACGTGTGCTGGTAAAACTTTGCTCTAAGAGACTGATCCAGCCAGCCAGTAAGTAAAAGAGTCAAATTGTCTTTGGTGGACTTTGGATTGGGCTATATAGTTGAAACCCGAGTTTTGGAAATTCACATTCAAATTTTGCTTCTGCAAAGCTTGATCACAGTGGCTGAAAAAATATTTCTTTGGTTTGAAAATCTTGTCAGCAGATGGAGGTGTTCAGGACTCTGGATTGTTTTGTATATATTATCATACATAGGAAATACATTGACATAGTACATGAATGAAGACGCTAATATTATTGCCCGTGTATGTTTGTACTGCATAGGTGGAGTATGTGACAATGAAAATTAGGTGAAATAGTTGATGAAGGTTGTAAAAATATTTAGTTTTCTATAAAAAATAATAAATCCTTACCTTTTTGATGAAATCCACTCAGCTTTCTGTCAGTATCTTATTTTATGTACCATTTGCGGTTTTGGTAAATGCACTCTGCCTTTATTTCCTTGGAAATGAAGCACCTGCAAGCAACCTTGGTAAGCTAAGACGACTGCCACGTTCCTGAAAAGGTAGTGCAGGCTTTCTTCATCTTTGGAAATTTAAATGCAGATTTTGATACAGAAATTTCATTACTTAGCTTCCAAACCCATTTTCTTCCTTTTCTATTACTTCTTCTTAGTAAGTATTTCAACTGGAAATTAATCACTGTGTCACCATTGTAAAATGATAAATGAATTGGACTGTTACCTGGTCTGCAGAAGTTTTCTTCTAGTAAGGAAGCCTCTTTACTTGCATGATGACTGAGTATGGTCTGACATAGCTGCAGTTCTGGGTTTGCAATCATGAAACCTGAATCCAAAATCTAGCAACAAACTGTATTTATACAATTGTAAGCTTTGTAATGCATACTCATGTGCTCGTTAAATCATTTTATCCAGTTCCTGATGTCACTCAATGCATAGGGATGGGATGAGTTATAAAGCAGAGCTTCTCAGTGAAACTTCCTACGAAACAACTAACGTAAACCAAAACCTTCTCTGAGACACATCTCTTAAACTCTGATGCATAATGTGCATTTTTTAAGTCTTTGTCAACCCTCTAAGAGAATGTGAAGGATCTTGTGATCTCTAGGTAATAATACATCAAATGCGTACATATTTGTGTTTGTAAATCAAGGCCCTTGACATCTTATCAGTCCTTTGAAGAGTTGTTTGTTGGGTCTTATTGGGGTTTTTTGCCCTTTTTTTTTTTTTCGTTTGTTTGTTTAAATCCAGCATCTTTAGTTGTTTAGATTTTTTAAAAATCATCTCTGAGCTGGCATTTATAATGAAAATACCAGTAGGCATGAAAGAATGCCTCAGAACATTGAGAAGATCTGAGTTCACAAGGGATTCACCTTGAATCTCTTAATTCAAGTAATTTTGCTTATTAATTAGTTGCATTTACTGTAATAGAAACAGTATGATGGGGCTTAGAGATAAAATTGTGCCTGTTTTGGCCTATACAGAAAAGGAAATTTGCAAAAAAAATGTATATTGGTCCCTTAATAAGCTGTACCTTCTTGGCATGGGGCTTCTTTTGGGGGAAGAGGATGCAACTGCCGCTGTGTGCGTGATTGTATGTGGTGTCAAACAGTCTGCTAAATATAGCAGCGTGCATGATGGAAAGGGAACTACAAAGCTTCTGTGTATCTTAAGATTTTTAACCTTTTCTGATGCCTTGCAATGTCTTTAGGGTTGGTGGAACTTAACTAAAGTGCATGGCTCAATGAATCAACGTACATAATGTCTAACACACGTTTGGATGCCAGCACCTGGGTTTAATATGGTACCTATATTGAAAATTGAGATCAAACCTCAAAAGTCCGAAATGAAACACAAAACAAATAGTTGGCTGACAAGGCTACTCAATCTGATAGATTGTCTGAACGAGCCTATCTAAGCATCGAGCCAATTTGGCATCCAAGTGGAGTGAATACCCCTGGTTTTGCGGTGTTTCCCAGCTTCTTATATGCTTTGACCTTGGAGCTGTAGGATGATGGACACTCTGCTTCTTTTGAATTGCCTTGAAAACTGGGTATGCCCTTCCCTCAGCTGCCTTTGAAAAGTCTATTCCTGCTCTTTGTTTCTCATCTTGAATGCCCAACTTGCAATCTTTTATGTTATTTTTGCAGGCAGTCTTCAATCTGAGGTAGACCTTTCCATGATAGCATCACCCTAATTCCACGTATGTCTCATTAGTCTCCTTCTCAGCATTCGGAATCAAGGTAGGAGTCCTTTGGAAGAGGCCAAATGATTTCATTAAATTCTGGAGGAGTCCAGAGCGGGCAGTGCTCTAAAGTCTTCCTTGGTAGAGATGCAGAGAGTAAGTTAACTGAGGGTGAGAGGAAGAATATTCCAAAGGGCATCAGTAACCAAAGGGTTTGCAATTAACTGTAGAAAAAAAAGTGCTCTGTGGCATTTGTGCTGCCTTGGTCTAGCCTTGGATTTCCCCTGGGATATATTTATAGTTCAAAGTCTTGAAAGAAGTTAATTGCACAAGGTGGTTCTTCAGGAAATGTGGAAGTCAGAATTTAAAGCTGAGGTCCAGACTCTGGTTGTTTTTCTGTCCTTTGCAGCCCTGAGAAATGTGTTCAAGGAGACCTGTTCTTCTCTCCTGCTGACCTCAGAATCCTAGCCCTAGATATTTAAGTTAACTGCTGTTTCAACATTGATGTTGACAGAAGCAGCAGAAGCTGCTGAGCATCGTCAGCTGCTACAGTGCGAGAAACCCTGATGGACCTGCTTCTCCCATCACAGTTAAAGAAATGGAGGGGCGGAAGAGAATATGGAAATGAATATTCTGTGTTTGGCAGAACCTGAGGTTACTCTGAAGCTGTGTGCATCCCATACCTTTCCAGGACTGGTTTCGGAGCCCATTTTTGAATTAGTTTTATCAAATACATGGACAATTTTAGCTAGAATGAAGAGAAAACACAACACAGCAAGCAGTGTTATGAGAAAAGCATGTTATCTGTAGCCTTTATTATAATTATAGCCTGTATTACAACCTGAGGGAGGCAAGAGGTATGTGATATAATTCATGATAGCAGCTATACCAAAACCAACCATATTATGGATGCAGGCGAAGAAAGGATATGTCTAACACCTGTAAGGATAATACATTACTGTATTGCAGGCATGCTTTGGGGGGTTGTTTTTCTAATAGAAAAGCATAAGGTGACTTAGGTTTTAGAATTTTAATAAAGGAACAGTTTGGAGGAGGGAAAATGAAAATGTATTTTCAGCTAATTTATGTAGGTACTTAGCACAGCAATGCATGTTTAAGCAGTGCAAATGAAGATGTAGATAAATGCACATTGTTAATGTACGGTGCCACAGACTATATTTTGTTATTGATGCTATGCAGTTTTGCCCATGGAAGAGTATCATCTATGTACTTTTTCCACCCAGTATTTGTTACTCTGCTTTAATCCAAAATTTAAATAACTTCTCAAAATGAACTTCTCTTTGTAGGAAGAAAGAGATCTGTGGTGTTGCTGCAGAGTACATTTAAGGAAGAAAACCTGGCAATTTCTGGAAAGATGAGGCAAATACATTTATTATTCACTTAGGTATTATTTTTAGTTCGATTTTATTTTAATTGGCATGTTTCAATCCATGATATTTGGATTTATTTATATTTGAAAGATACAGAGTCATATTCTGAATTTAAGTGAGTAAAACTGTATCAGCTGCACTGAAGCTGTGCCCATTTTCACTAGCAGGAAAAATGGCTCAGTGAACTCAAACTGTGTAGGGAAAATCACTTAAAAGGCGTGTTTTTCCAGACTGCTGAAGGACAGCAGATGTATTTTATTACAACCAAAAGCAGTGCCGTATTTTACAGGTCACGCACATAAGGCCAAATTCTGGCTGGCAGTTATGTTTATCCACGTGCCAGAAAAACCTGAAATTGAAGGAGAAATACTGGCAGGAAATTTTTCCTTTCATTTCCAGTTCTCATTCCATGTTCCTACAGAGAAATGCTCATCAGGTGCTGCGACCAGGACCCTGGAGTAAACTGGGCTCTTTGAGTTAAATCTACCCATTAACTGAGACCTATAGTCAGGATGTCATTCCCCAGCCTGTTAACCTCTCATGGGATATAAGCCCCTATAGAAGGTGACTTAATCTCCCTGGGTGCGTAAGAGGGATTTTTACATGCCAGATCAATGTTAAAAATTTTTCTGATATCTATTAAATAGTCAAATGATGATATCTAGTGGTGGTTTCCTTTAGTACTTTTTAGTTCAGGATTCCCAGAGCTTTACAATCATTTTGCAAATGAATCTCAAAGTCCACCTCTCTTTGGAGGATTATTTCCCACAAAAAGGATGCCTAGGTGTGCAGAATAACAGCTTCCATTAGCTGAGGTTTTTATATTCTGCAGATTAAAATCTAGAAAGATGGTAATCCAGCTTTCTCCTGCTAGTTTACAATTCTGATTTTTTTTCTGTTGTGCTCCTGTTTTACATAGAGGTTTCCAAAATTTAGCTATTTGATTTTAATTAACCTATTTATTTTTTCTTTACCAGAAGAACCTCACCACTTAATTCCTGCCTGCATCTCCTTTGAGTTAATTTGTGATAACCCCATCAATCTACTGGGAATATAAATCACCTGTGCGGGTCAGCGGCCGCTGGGTAAATGAGTGCCCAACTGCTAACAAACTCCACCACTACCACATACAACCTCCTGGCTGCCTGTGGGCTTCTCAGTGGAAATAAAAGTGTTTAGTATTGACCTACAAATCCCAAGAGGCCAAAGACCTTCCTTCTCCTTGCTCTCCCCGTGTCATCCTGTCCCACGTTGGGGTTGCAGATATTCCCCCTTTGCTTGAGGGCTGGGCTCTGGGGAAGATAAAAAGGCTGGAGGAATATTTGATGCAGCGGAGCGAGCCGGGGTGGGGGGATTTGTGCATCAATCAGCAGCAGGGCTGTCTGGAGCGGAATTACTGAAAAATGTACAGAATGTGCTGGGGCTCTTTTGTGGACTGTGTCTGTTGGGACTTTATTTTGGTTGGGATGCTTGTTTGAGGCTCTCTTTCAGGGAGGAAAACACGGCACTGCTGTTATGATCTTGTTAAATTGCTGTTTCTTGGAAACAATCTGGCGCCTTATCGCTTTTCCTGGGGCTTTATTTGCTGATGTTTGTTTAAGTGCTGAAAGGCAGGTTGGCAAGGGGCTGAGGAACTTCACCTGGTGAACGATGACTGCAGGAGACCAGAAGAGCTGTGTCTTTAAAACCAACTGCAGAAGAAGCGCTAAGACTCGTAGGGGTTTTCCGTGTCTCATTAATGCTGCTTCTCCTTGAGGGTAAGTGGAA